TAAAGAAGTGCTGATCAAAGACCAGATCTGGAAATGCCTCAATTAACACAATTTTTTTAAATGCAGGCTTCAATGAAATGTTTAATATTTTGTATAGCCAAGTCGAAAAATTCTCCTCTCCCTATATTACCAAGTCTGTTGCTTCTGTGTTTTATGGTTTTTTCGCAAAAGCAAATTAACGAACTTTTTTTATCCGTTTTCTTTTTCGGACGGAAAATCAGCAAGCTTCAGCGATGGAGATTTTCTACCAGACGAAATGCCAGAAAAGAAAATATTAACAATTAACATGGTGTTGTAGGCCAAGATGACAGGTCTCAAGGATTAAGGTTGTAATTATTCAAAATTGTTTATGATGTTGAATAGGGGGAAAAAAAAAAGGTAAAGAACATTATTGGAAGAATATAATGAATATAATTAGGTTAGAAGAATATAATGAACACTATTGAGGTAACATGAACATTATAGAACTGTTAACTTCAAAACTTGATTGGTTGTAGTGACTAATTAGGTATAAAATTGAAAAGTGAGGTTTTAATTTTTTGGTTTAGAATGGTTATATACTGTTTGAAGAATTTGAGTAAAAGGGTTAAATAATTATGAAAAATATTTTTTTAAAAAAAAATTATATGAATTTATGCATTGAAAATGATTTTTAAAAGTGCATTAAAGTTAAAAATATCTATTGAATAAAAAATAAAACAAATTTACGAAATTGTCAAACATGTGATACATAATATGTTGCAAAGTTGCACGATCATCGTACACAGAGTTGTCTTTCCTGTTTTTAAAGAAAATACAGTACAAAAATATAGTATAGTTGATGTAAAACTTAGGATCAACAATACAATCTAAAATTTTGTATATAATATTAGAATGCAGAAAATTTAAATCTCTAATAAATCCTCCATACTTAACTCGCAATTAACAGTACGAAGGCGAACTGAGATAATTAGGAATTAAGAAATCGTAATTGAAAAGGCATAACGAGTCTACCTCAATAAATAGATCTACTTCCTAAACTCAACAAGAAAGTTGAAAAATTTCTTAATGAACACTCACATTAGCGTAAGTTAAAAACAATAACTGAGTTTTATTAATCTGAAATAAAGTTAATACATGTAAAAGAATGTATCATTTATATTGACATCAACCTTGTAAATTCGAGTAGAACTCGAAAAACTAAATCCTAATTAAGTTTTTAATTTAACATAATCTAGGAATGCATTATAACAATAATAAAATAAACACATCAAAAGACAACTTCTCTCTTTGATGGTTGAGAGACTTCAAATCCAACTTGAAAGTCTTTCTTCATGTTGATATGTGCTTGTAATATTTAATTAATTTTGTTGTTGAAGAATCCCTTTTGAAGTCTTGAAAATTATCCTTGTTGAAGTACAACTTGAGTGTTCGAATTTGGCTAAGGTGAGAAGACTCTTTGGCCAAATTTCTTTTAGCCTCTTCCTTTGATTAATTAATTGATTTTTGTTTGAATAAATCCTTCTTGAACTCTTGATTTCCTTTCCGTATGGAATTTTTTTTTTTCTTGTGCATATGGACACTTAATAACTTTCTTTTTGGCCGATTATAGACGGCTAGTGGTAGAGGGACAATCTCT